TCATTAAAACTGCATCGTACGACCTGAAAGGACCGAGCTTGTACAATCCGAGCCACTAGCATTTCATCAACCTTTGGTGTTAGCTCTGAGCGGATATTTTCACCAAGTTCTCGACGTCGGAGAAAGAATTTATTAAGCCTTTGTATTTACCATATAAGTGGGTTCCATCAATGCTAAGAAGAGGACGACAATATCGAAACCCCTCAATACAGAGCCCAAATGCCCAAAATGCACCGGTGAACCACCTTTCTCCGCCATCAACCGGGTCCGAAGATACTTCGTAGACAGTCCCCAGATTTTCTCTTTTGAGTGCTTCAAGATAATGAGGTAAGATCTCATATGATTTATCCCAACCCCCGAATATTTTTATCATCGCCTTCCTCCTAGCATTCCAACACTTGTGATATGATACATCCAAGTTGGTGGCTTTATGCACTAAAAGACAGATATCTTTCGGCCTTAGATCAAGATCCTCCCTCAGATGCGGTAAAATCAATCGATATATAAAAGAAGAGGACGCATTCTTGTTATTCATCTCTAATCGAGGATTGCTACAAGTGTGGAGTCCATTGTATGCCGTGATTTTGAATTGCCCGCCTACTCTTACACCCTGAGCGTGAATTAAGCTTCCACGGACACCTCACATTGCCGTCATGGTGTCCACTATTATCTTCGACATCGTCATCTTTGCGATAGAAACAAACCACATTATAGCTTGTAGTATTATTTTTGGTTGGCCTGAACTTCACATTTTTTGCAATGGAATAATTATAGCTTGTAGTATTATTTTTGGTTGGCCTGAACTTCACATTTTTTGCAATGGAATACGTGCGAATAACATGGATCAATTTCTCCTTACTCTCGTAAAGATCTTCCTTTATGAATGAGAAGTCCTCGGCCTGTGTATCAACACCGCTATTAGTGCTAATAGGAACACTTTCCATCACGGAGTTATCAATCCATTCATCTCCTTGAAGTTCATCGGGCGGCGTATCCTCTAAGACGACATACTCATTATTAACATAACATCCATCGATGTGTTGGTTTTCCCCGTCATCACGATCTATCAAGGTCATGCTATTAATTTGTAATCCCTCCTCTTCATCATTCTCGGATTCAACACTTGCATTATCTTCTTGAATTCCCGTGTTTGTATCGAAAGCATTCGAAGTGCCCACGAACGAAGGACCGCTCATGTATTGTGATTGTGTCCAACATTCATCTTGTTGAGGAGATAAAAAGCCTACAGAATCAACTTCAGGATCCTCCAACATGCGGGAATACATTCCTTGGGAGTTCAACGATTTGCCCAAATCCCTCTGATGTTTTTCAATGAACAATTCGACCGAACGCTTCTCGTCGTGTAAGACATGAATGAGACCCATATCGTAGTCACTTGATATTTGAATGCCACTTGTTCTGTTCCCCACAACAGGATAATTGCAAACCACACTGAGGTGATACTCACGTGAGTTAGTTAATGTAAGTTTGTGTAATTCATTAACCAACTCATCGAAAATACACGATTTTGTTATGAACAACGGTCTCGTCGCGCCTCCTTCATAAACGGGCATATTATTTTCGAGGTAATTAATCTTCCCATCATAAGAACAGAGAATTACGATTCAATCGTTCATCGTTACCTCTGAAGAGTGAAAAATTCAAGATCAATATTACACGAAAAGCCAAATAAATACACAAAATTATTTGATTTTTCTTCACAAAATTCGTAAATAATCCACAAAATTATTGATAATTTCCCCTCTAATTTTCACATTTATTGATAATTTCCACACTAATTTTCACATTTATTGATAATTTCCACACTAATTTTCACATTTATTGATAATTTCCACACTAATTTTCACATTTATTGATAATTTCCACACTAATTTTCACATTTATTGATAATTTCCACACTAATTTTCACATTTATTGATAATTTCCACACTAATTTTCACATTTATTGATAATTTCCACACTAATTTTCACATTTATTGATAATTTCCACACTAATTTTCACATTTATTGATAATTTCCCCTCTAATTTTCACATTTCTTCACAAAATTCGTAAATAATTCACAATTAAATTCTAAAATCTAGATTTTTATATGAAATCACAATCAAATAGTGAGAGTATACAAAAATTAGAGAGTATAAATTTTTTTAGGAAGAATTTACCTTTTTTGGATTTTTTGACTCAGATCTGAGATCTGACGGCGGCGG